ATCTGTGCAATTTTTATTTTTAGTTCTTATTGTTATAGTTAGGTTTCTCTTTATTGTTTCTTTAAAGTAGACTTTTAAGAGAGATAATTAGGAACTTGCTATTGCAGTCAGAACAGGCTGTGAGTTTCACATCATTGATCTTTACTATCAATGTATTAGAATGTGTGAAATAGTAAAAGGAGAAGAATACTCATTATAACAGGTCGTTCACAGGTCCATATGAAAACTGAGGAAGCTATACTTTAGAAAACAGAAAACACTACCATGTATAGGACATATCTTTTAGTCCTTTGTTGGTTTTTGTATTACAAAAATTTTAATAAAGTTGTGGCCTAACTGCTAAATTCAAAAAAAAAAAAAAAAAAAAAAACAATATATAAATAAAAAAAATATTTATAAAAAAAAAAAAAAAATATATCACTGTCATGTATAAATTTGGTATGTAAACCTTTTAAAGGATATGTAAATACAAATTTTATACTATTTAAATAATAATGGATATTTTAGAATTTCTAAGGTTGAATAGTTAAATCGGATATTAATTCACTCTAATCTGACAGTATTTATTTATTACAAAGCATATAACTGCGATAAACTATAGACTTACTAAATTTAACATCATAGTTACAGACTTACAGACTAATAATTAACCAAGAATTAATGTAAAAGCAGCAAAAACTTGATATTTGAAAATAGAATTATTAATGAAGCCGTTAAAATGCATTAAAAAAGAAAGTGTAATAAGTAAGCCACAATAATAATAAATTAATAACCGTAATCCCTTTAAAATTAACCTAAATAGTTTAAAGTAACACAGATTTGGTACGACTGATATTTTGCACGAATCTATCTTCGATCATAGTGAAAAGGAACATAAAATGAATTATTCCAAAAAGTCGCGTTGATGACTTTTTTAGTAACTTAGTCTCGCGTATAAGAAATTTCCGATAAAAGCCAAACAGAACTATTCATGTAATGCTAATTCCAGTCGGCTTAATAATGCTGTCTTTCAATATGGTAAAACCGGAGTTAATTGCATTTTTTATTCGAAAAAAGGTTTGTATTCAAATAATTACTTTTTTGTTATCACATTTTGGGTTTTTCCTTTTCTTTTTGGATAACGTTTACTTAATTTAATACGCGTTTAACAAGTTTTGTAACTTAACTGGTCTAATTTAGAACAATAAAAATAAAAAAAAAGCTTTATTATAAAAATATGCATTATGCAAACATATCTATAAATAAGCCTTGTTAATAATATATTTTCTTCCAAAAATTATTGCTCTTTCTGCTATTTTGCTATTCTTGATATTTTACTATTCTGCTATCTTTGATATATTTTGCTATTTGATATTTCTACGTGGAAATAAAAATTTATTATGGCAACAGCTAACTTTTCAATCGCAGAAATTGCTTCGAATCTTATTCCCCGAATAAATATGCGGAATATCTTCCCACCTATCCATAATAAACCTGAAGAACTCATTCCTACTTTTAGCACAAATACAACACGTAAACCAAGAAGGTCGATGAATAGCTTTCTTATTTTTAGAAAAAATATTCACGAGGAGATAAAAAGGATTGGAGTTGGGTGTAATATGCGTGTTATTAGTCGTATTGCTGGAGTTTTATGGCGTAACGCCTCCTTAGATGAGAAGCAATTTTACGAAGATTTGGTATGTGAAAAATTTAATTTTACTGTATTATGTAAGTTTAGATATAGACTAAGAAATTATAATTATAACTTTCTATTTGTTCTCTTTATAGTCACAACTTTGTAATGATATTCACAATCAGCGTTATAACTCTACCATTAAACATCAAGCAGAAATTCGCAAAAGACCATTAGCATGCAAATACAATCCCTATGAAGTAATCACCGTTTCTTCTCAAATGATGCGGGAACCCGAACCTGTGATTGATCTATGTCCGAGACCGAACTCTCTTCAATTATTTGACCAAAATCCGGTTAATTTGTTTAATCTTACAGAAGAAAATCTTAGTCATTCATATTTTACATTTAGAGGAGATCCACAATAAATAATATAAAGGGGGTAGCTATAAATCAGTAAATTGTACTTAACTCTATTGTAAATACCACATAGACTTGATTCTATATATGATATAGGCATTCACAAACTTTTTTACTTCAAATTATGCAATTTATAATAATAAAATTTTAATTTAAAAAAAACCTCACCTAAGACTTGTATGAAAACCAAATCCATTTTATTATTATTTGTGTTTTTTTTTTTTTTTTTTAATTGCCCAACGTATGATATTTTTGTAGCTGTATTTTGATTATTCCATATGAAATCGTGTTTTCCTGAATCAAGGTGATATTACAAAACACGTGGATATAATCAATATACCGATATTCACTTGTTAAGCGACATTTTTCAAACAGAAATTAATTTATTTGTCACTTATATCAGGCCAGAGCTTTTTATTATTATTGTATTAAACATACAGTAAATGTTACCACATTCACTAAATTATTTTGCAGATCCTTATAATTTTCTTGATGATAAAGCATATATATTTAAGATTCATAAACCAAATGAAATTGAAAACTTTTAAATTTTAATAGGAACAACAATTAAACCGTTTCACTGGTCAAAAAATTATATTTTTACTAGGAAATATATTGTAAAATATAGTACAAATCTTTACTTAATTACCGAGTAATAGACAATATTATTTCCATATTTTAATAATATATTATCTAGTAAAAAATACCACTTTTCTACCAGTGTTTACTTCAAATCTAACGCAAATACGTAGATAAAGTCGTTAATCAAACTTTAATCTACTGTTGAACATACCTGTATTATCATTTGTCTGAGTAAAATATGCAAATTTGGCGCGATAAATATTGTGATCGCAAGAATCGCTACGCTTTTTTGACTATGGAAGTGAACATAGAGGAAAGCTGGAAGTGAAAATAGTGCTGGACATGCCTGAAATCAGCACCAACATAGAAAAGTATTTTATCCATACAAAATGACCCAGAACAAAGAGATTAAGGAGTGGTCTGCTTTTAATTACATGATTATCTATTGTTTAATAGAATTTTATGAAATTGCTAGAGATATTAGAGATATTAAATCACTTGATCAATTAATACTTGTATCAATTAATTTTGTCATATAGTAATAGAATACAGCCAAATTTAATTGAAAAATGAACAGGCGCGTGAAAAATTAAACGATAGACAAGAAATTCAATTAAACTATACTCGTAACTAGGCTTGACTAAACTGTGGCTAGCTGGAGTCCGCATTCCTTATTAATTGATGAGCCACAATGTGTCAACTAATCGGATTGTATGTTCAGATAAACATAAATAATAAATTATCCGTAAACCACCCCTAACTCGGTCCTCCATCAACTCGCTTTATTTATGTTACACTTAATAATATTGCGGCAATGCGAAGTAATTTCTTTCAGATAATATCAAATTTTAGTAATTTTGTTTTTTATTCAGTAAATTAACTAAGTATATATTTATCAGGAAAACAAGAAATGCTGTGATCTGAAGTGCTACATCTCTAAATTATTGTATGTACGATCAAAAATTCTCATGTTATTTTTTGTGAATAAAAATAATACATAATACTCAAAAAGTAACTGTTGTTCACCGAAAAAAATTATTATTCCAAATAAAGTACCTTATTGTGATACAATATTCTTTCAAAAAGAATGAAACTGTTGTTGTCTATATGCATTTCCCCTTAGAACTGGCCAAAGTATGCATTAGCCGTATTATTAATTAATTAATGGTTTGGAGTTTATGGTGCGGAACATTTCAAAATTGCAATTCTTTACCGTATATTCTGAACATTCGCATAATTTTGTAGGTTTGTATTCTTTTTTTGAATTCCGGATATTCACTGAAATAACGCTACATATGGTTGGAAACTGAACCCGGGTTTTTCTCTAAATCTGGTATACATTGTATTATGTAATACAAAATAATACATTTTATGTTTATATTTATTTGCAGATCATACACGAAGCAAGCATAGTGGAAGTTCTTGTGATTGGCTAAACAAATTAGCCAAATTAACCAATGGTGTGCTAGTTCACTTAGCCGGAACTATGCATAGAATCGCCCAAATAGACGATGCTAAGTTTCATAACGCGGTCGATCCGGAAATCACCTGTGTTGCCACAACTCGCAAACAAGCCTTGGTCTAAGCCTACAAGATATTAATCGTATATCTATATCT